AAAAAAAAAAAATTAATTAGGTACAATGATTGATAATTTTCGAGATTTTGATAAATTTTGTCAAAATTCGATCTTTAAATGCTTATAAAAAAAAACTGTGCCTATGTATTTTTAATATTTTTGAACTGATATTGTAACAATATATCAGGCGCCTTGTATTAAATTTTTACAGTTTTTGGCCCAACAGATAAAACTTTATTAAGTAGGTATAAAGTTATCTGTAAAAATAACAAACTAATGAAAAAAAAACTGGAAAACAAAACAAACTAGGTTTATGGATAAATGTTTAATATATTAAGTTTTAATTATGTATTTTATTCTATACATAATATACTAATTATTGAGTCATACAGTATGATGTAATATAAAAGATTTTTTTTTTGAAACCCATGTGTTATTATTAGGGCTTGGTTGCATTTTTAGAACATAATGTATGTTAAGTAAGCACAAATTATATTTCATGTAACTATGAAAGTGTGATTAAAAATACCAATTCTTTTAGACCATATTTTAACATTTTACAGTTTTTAAATCTTATTTGATATTTTGAGGACAATATTTCATAATTTTTATCTTAAGTAGAAACTTTATGAATCATTTTGAGGAAATAAAACTAAAGACTCCTAATTTAGAAGAATAATGAATAATAATAAATAAACTAATTTAAATCAGTCAGTTATAGATTGTAATAAGTGAAAAATACTACAGCTTATTATGAGCAGACAAGGACAAAAAAAGTTGACATAATATTATGTAATAGCCTAGTTTATTAGACCATAGGTATCTTAGTATTGTATCTTACTATTGTACATTATGGTTCATTAAAGGCGCCCTAAGATGCTAACTTCCAATTTCATCTATGTAAGACATTATAACAGTGTTTTTAAAAATTTAAGTTATTAATTTTTGTTTTTAAATAATATGTTTTGTTTTTGAAGGAATGAGCATGTCTTAAACTATTTTACATTAATTTAAAAATTACTGGCGTGGCTTGCAATTATTGTACAATTGACAATATTATAATTTAATATTTTAATATTTTATAAGGCTTTAGAAGTCTTGCCGTAGTTTTTTAGAAGTTGTTACAATTATTAGTTGTGAATGGTTTAGTCATAACTTGTTTATTGATTAACAAAAAATATAAAATATAATATTAACACAAGTAATTAGCACTTGAAACAAAAAAAAAAAATATTAAATTATATCTACAAAAAAAAAAAAATAGGTAATGATTTAACATTGAGTTATGATAAAATTAATTATGATAGGTATAAAAGAAGGTTAAGAACCTACATAAAATATAACTAGAACCATTGATTTTAGAATATATATTCTATTATAATAAAGTATGTATATTCTAAAATCAATACTAGAACTAGGTACCTATTTAGAATACCAATTTTTTTATTTTAAATTTTTATTGAGGCTAGCTATTTTATCCCTTAATTGTTTCTTTTCAATTACTAGTATTATTTATTAATAGGGCTAGGGACTTCATGCTCTGAAAAACCTTAAAATATGCATGCATTTATGCCCTTAAGAGGATGTCAGGGCACTATTTGTTTTCTCTCTCTGACCCACTCGCAACATAGACAAAACACATTTACGCAGAAACATTTTTTCTATGTTTTTAAGTAATCTTAGAGTAAAAGCACCCATTACAAAAAAGATAGAGAATACTATTTTTGAGGGAATGTCATATCGATTTGTCTAAATATTATCTCAAAACAATTTAAACATCATTTTAATGTACAACTTTTTTTATTTATTTTGAAAGTCGAATACAAAGTCAAATAACAATAAAATATAAAATCGATATGACATTCCCTCAAAAATATTATTCTCTATCTTTTTTGTAATAGGTGATTTTACTCTAAGATTACTTAAAACATAGAAAAAATGATTCTGCGTTCATGCGTTTTGTCTATGCGTGGGCCAGAGAGAGAAAACAAATAGTGCGCTGACATCCTCTTAAATCCATCAAAAATTCTCTAAAAATATGCAAAAATGCTAAAATATGCTCTTAAAAATATTTTACTTTTCATTAAAAACCAAAAATTTACAAGTTTATTTATTAGTTTAGTAGTTTAGTAGTTTACTATTATAAATTATTACTATTTATTACTTTAATTTCTTCTTCTTAAAACTTGCCTTTAAAGTTTAAACAAAACAAAAAGAAACAAAAAATTCAATTATAAATTAATATTGTGTTGATATTTTAATAATTTTTAAATTCCTACCCAAATGAATTGCATTGTGTGTCTAATATTTTTTGTATATTTTCAAATGTAAATGAGCGCCGATTGTTCGCTAATAAACTTTTGTACCTCAAAAACAAACGCTCGACATCAACAGATGCTATTAGAGCGAATTTATAGTATAAAGTCGTTGACCTCCAATAGTCTTCAAGATTTTCCATCGAATTGACTATTCCTTCTAATACATTAGAAATAATTTTAAATCCTTCATTTTTGACAGTACGTTTATTAATTTTTTTATAAATTGCTTTTCCCTTATCTCGTTGTAGATTTTTTAATTTTTCTTTGACAGTTTTTATGACTGAAATACTCAGATAACATCATGTTTTGTTTTTCCAAACGTATAATACATGAAAACTATAGTTGAAAGAAATAAATGCTAAGCCTCCTTTCAAATGTGGGTTGTTAACCATTTCTTTAGCTTTTTGGATGCTGTTTATGTCCTTTGTCATACAACTTTATTATTAAAACATATAATTTATAAATAAAATATGAAATAATGTGAACTATGCACTTAAAGTACAAATATAACAAAATATGCTCTTAAACAGAAAAAAGCTGAATATGCAAAATATGCAAAAAAAAATTATTGCTTTTAACTCTTAGTACTATGAAACAAATTTCTATATTACTTAGCTATGTTTTGAATGATTATTGAGAAACATGCAAACTCCTATAAGTCCCTAGCCCTATTTATTAATATTTGGGTACTAGTTACTTACTATTAGCAGCTGCATCACAGAATAGATTAAATCTATTCTGTGGCTGCATCATTAATTTAAAAACAGGAATATGTTAACAAATTATAATTTGTACCCACCTATTTAAATTAACAATTAAAAAATTTCAATATAGGTACTTCTGGAAAGATATTTTCTAATATATAATTTTCGAGTAAAATATTTTATGCAAACTTTTTCACCGTTCTGCAAAATTGAGTTATATTTTATTCCATTCTGGAATTATACACCCAGCGGAATTTCTGCAATATTATTTTCTGGATTTTTACGTTCTACTGATATACATTCTTATCAGTTTAAATTCTATGCTATTTACTTTCTTTCATTTTATTTTCTGTTTAAATATTATCTGGGCTTTTTATATTCTGGTTGCTTTCAATTCTGTAATATTAATTTCTGTTATTTAACATTCGACTAATCTACATTCTGGCGGTTTTTTTTCTGGAACATTATATGGGCCCACCACCACCACCTACATGATTCAACTGGGATGGGGACAGTTGGGTCCCCGTGATAAGAGTTAGGTCCCTTGATAAGAAATTATAGCTGATAATCTTAATCAAGAGTTCGAACTGTAACCTCAAATAAAAAAATTGCAAATTAATACCAACCATCAGGCATTGTAAATAGTTCCAGTACGATTTTTGAGTTTATGAATTTCCCACCCTTGTCCAAGACGGAGATACATTATGTATCTGTCATTTATCCGTCTGTCGAATTTTTTGAATGACCGTTATTTAACGGTAAACAGTTGCTAATTTTACGTTTGCTTTGCCGCTGCTGGTTGTACGTTGGTGCTTGCCGCTTGGTTCAGCATTCTAATTTATTACCGTAAGTAAAACTTGTATTTTTTAATTTTTACCTTAATAATAGTTCTTCGATAAATTATTCGTAATGTACCTATTTGAATGTTCATATTTATTCATAGAAGGTTCACACCTAATTAATAATTATTCAATTAGTAAGTACTACATTTGAGTTTTTACCCATTGGCGCAACTATAGACGTACGTAAATTACAAATTTTGTAACACAACTTCAACAATTTTATTCATTCATATTTTGTATATTAACTAGGTACTCATATATTGTTATAAAAGAAAAGATTATATAAAATATGGGTAGGTATGTTAATTTTAACTTGTAACGTATTATATTATAATAATAGGTACTTTAGAAGTTACAATTAACATACCTACATTTTATATTAGCTTTTCTTTTTTTTGTGCTGTACTTAGCTAACACTGATTCTGTTTTTATGTTATTTGCAACATCCTTCTCAATATCTAAAACAAACATTCAACCAATTTTTTAATGTATTGCATACTTTAAAAACTACATGCACATGTTGCAGTACTTATTTAAATTGTAACTATCTCTAACAATTTGAACTAACTTGTTTAAGTTAGGAAAAGCCACTTTTTTAATTTTTACTCTTTTTACACTTTCTTAATTCAATTTTTTTAACTATCACAAAGCCGCTCGCTTCGCTCGCTATTTACCATGTTACGTTCTGATCAATTATTAATACTTACATAGAACAACTAGTTAGTAGTTACTAATAGACACATTATACCTATCGATATATTAATTTTTGTACCCATACCAAAGTAACTGTACTTATCATTTTATCATACCTCAACCCTTGTCACTGTTGCATATTATAAAATCTCAAGCAACCATTTAAATGTCAACTTTACAGCCTACAGATATCGTTACACCTACATTTTTTATATTTTTAGCACTTTATTTTTGTTTCTTTTTCTCTATTTTTGTCAGTAACTGTTTCTCATCTAAAGTTCAGAGTAGGTATTCAGGAAGGCAACCTGTCATTAGTAGTATCTAAAAAGAAAACAACTAATAAAGAATAAGACAGAAATAATTATTATCACATTTATATTATTTTCAATGCTTTACTGCTTTATAATATTTTACTAGATGATATTATCTATTATCAAACTAAATGTAATTGTCATATTATATAAACATATATATTATTATAATTAAAGATGAAGGGCATTTTGTAGTTTAGAACTAAAAGAAGAAAATGTATCAATGACTTCATCATAATTAATGTCTACATCAAATTCACAAGACATTCTCATAAGTCCTTCCAGTCGATTATTTCCCATAGTTGAACGTAGTCGATTCTTAATTAATTTCATTTTTGAAAAAGATCGTTCAGTTGTTGTACTACTAACAGGCAATGTCACAGCAATTTTAAGAGCCATGTACAGGTTTGGGAAAACTGATTTTAGATTTGCATTACAAAACAGTGAAAACAATGATACCATACTTGCAGCATTATGTGGTTGTTCTAAATCTTCGTGTACCACATCACTGTCACTATCTGAATCGTCTGAATTATTATTGGTCGATTGATTACTTTTATGGATACGCTTGGGCAAATAATTAGATTTCAACAATTCTTCATAATAATTCACGAAATGACAATATTCATTGACCATTGCATTTTTATCGACAAACTTTTTATAAATATTCGCAAACGAATTAAATGCATCTTTTGGTAGATCACTTGCCTTATGTCTAATTTCAAGAATTCTACGATGAGTTAAAAGTGATAAATCTTTGAATAAATCTTGATTGAGTTCATTAAATCTACAATCTATTTGTCCATAAGTATTATCAATCACTTTATAGTAAGTTTCAATCTTGAAATATACAAGAGGATCTGATTCTACTTGATCATTTGCCAGTTCACCAGGCATCTTCTTCTTACGCGAGCGAATAATGGGTAATGGAATAAACTCAATATCTTCATCATTGTCCTTGTCTAAGTCATTCTTAAGATTATTTACAAATTCTTTTGCCTGAGTAAGTATTTCTTGAAAACTTTCATCATTTCTAATGGCAACAATTTGATTTTTTGTTTTATTTACCATTTCTGCAGCAGCAAATAAGTCCAAATCTTGGCTTTGGAGCATTTTAGAAAGTGGCTGAAGAGAAGAAAATAATTTTTTAAAAATATATGTTGTAAAAATGAACCTTTCAGTTGTCATGTATGACCTTAGATTGCCTGCTTCAAATCCAGCTTTACGATCTGCAGTTCCTTCACCTTGTCTTATTGCATCTAACGTATCTAAAATAGCTAAAAAAGTTTCATTTACAGTAGTCAATGCTGACGACTGGGAGTTCCACCTGGTAGTATCAACCCTTTTCAAACGTTTTATTTGATTTTTTGGATATCTCTGCCTTTGAAATTTTTCAAACAGCCAAACTCTATTTTTACTTGAGCTCACATAGTCATACAGTTTCTCTAATGTTCCAAAAAGATCCATTGCATTAAGACAGCAACTGACTGAATCAGTGACAATTAAATTCAATCTATGTGCCCAGCACCACACAAATGTGGCATGTGGGTTAATATCTCGAATAAATGCCTGTAGACCATTATATTTGCCTCTCATGTTCGATGCCCCATCATAAGATTGACCTATTAAATTTTCTTTCCACAATAAGTTATTAGTTTGGCAAATTTCTTCAAATACAGACATTAAACTTTCCCCAGTGGTAGAATGTGTGCTTTTCAAAGCAAGGAATCTTTCTTGCACACAACCTGTAGTTTCTGTTACATATCGTACCACAAATGACAGTTGATCTTTACGAGAAATATCAAAAGAAGTATCCAAAGAAATACTAAATACTTCAGACTTTGAGATAGCAGTTGTAATTTTCTTAGCAATGTGTGATGAATATCATCAATCATTTGGTTTTGACGTTCCCAAGAAATGAACGATAATGTACTTTTCCCATTGGTTTGAAGTTGTGTTAAATATGAAGCTATTATTGGCGAGTGAGAAGATAAAAGTATTAGAAGGTCTTTATAGTTTCCTCGAAGACTGTCTGAAAATTTTTCTCTGTGGCCACGTAAGGCTAAACTGTGTCGACCTAAATACAAAATAACATCAATAAGCTGTTTTACTAACTCACGGTTAACTGCTATTTGTGACTTTCTTTCTTCCATTAATGAGGGCAACAAAGGTAAAGAATTTTCTCGAATTTTAAATTTAAGAGTAGCATCAATATGTGAGGACGATGTTTCATGAATGATAAAACTTTGAACAGCGTCTTTCCATCTGGAGAAACCAATCTTTGTCCACGTCTTGGGAGAATTATTGTTTGAAAATAATAACAATATACACAAAACACTTTATCTAGATATGGCGAGTAAGAAAGTAAATCTCTAGTTCCTAATGTTCCATCATGTAGTGTTTTCTTATACCACTTTGGGAGAAAAGAGCGTTTTATTTTATCCTCTGGAAATTTGCCTATTGGAAGATCTTCTGATTGCGGCTGACATGGTCCCCATTTCAAAATGGCATCCATTAGTTGAGGTGAAATGTTCTTTAAATGAATAAGTCGGACGGGATCATTTTGACATAAATTCAAAGAAGATATATCCGGTAAATCAACTGACTTTTCTGTTTCTATAAGTATATTAAAAATTTTTTTAAGTTATATGCTTACAATAAATGCTATATTATTCAAAGCTGGGCAAGTTCAAGATTTTTTTTTTTACTCAGTTAAGTTAATTTAATATGCATTAATAACAAAAAGTTAAATATTAGTTTAATTTTTTAGTTAAAAGTTAATACACTCTATTTTTACCAACCCAAAAATAAATTATAGACATCATTGTTTATACATCATAAGTTAAATTGGAAAAATATAAAATTTTTATCTTAAGACAAAAAAAGTAAATATTTGTCGACATAAACATAAAATGGACTGAAATAATGAAAGTTAATAGTTGTATTAATGAAAATCCAAAAGTAACTAGTTATTTCCCAACCTTGTTATTATTAGGTAGTTTTAAATCAATTTTAGATTTGTACACTGAAATATTATATTATATACTATATTAATATGATAAATATAAATGTAAAAATTAAAATAATAAATTCTGAAATATTTATATTTTAAGTTAGGCCTGGCGGTATCTTCGGTGTACTGATAATAAAAAATAAAAATTTGAAATACCGCAAGCCCTATTTTAACTCTTTGAGGGGCGAAAATTTCCTTTAGAAAAAAGACCCATGTGGGCGATATGTCTCTTTACCATAACATTTAGTACGTATATCAAAATATCGATAATGATAATAAATGATGAAAAACGCGAGAAATGATATCAGACCAGCGGTAGTGATATTGTTTGATGCATGTATAAGATGATAATAAGGTGATTGGTATGCTGACCATCATCAAAAAAATATTAAAAATAATTTTAAAAGTGGTTAAAATAGTAACCACCGCACCTGAACGGTAAAAAAAAAGTGGTTAGCATACTAACCACGGCCCCTCAAAGAGTTAAGGAACCTATTCATGATAATTTTAATTAAATGTATTGCTGTACCTTCAACAGTTACAGATGACATTAAAACAACTTTTGATATGCTTTCGTTGGATTTAGTATCCTCCACAGCTTCCACAGTTTTTCCTATGAAAAAACATTGTGAAGTTATTATATTTACAATTAAAAACCAATTAATAATAATCATACTTACCAGTATCAACTAAAGTTGGTAACACACCAACTCTTGATAAACAGTCATTTGTCACTGTATTGCAGATGGTCTTCACTGAATTTCCCATTTCTATTAAAAAATTAAAAATATTTATTATTTATAAGTTAGTAGGTAAATGAGTATTATTAATAATGATTTAAATAATGTACCTTCAACAGTTAAAGATGACATTAAAACTTTTGATGTGCTTTCGTTGGACTTAGTATTATCAACAGCCTCTATATTTAAAAAAAATATTATTATTCATATTTAGAAATACTTATTAATCCTATTTAATTAATATACCGGCGGTAACAGTTAAAAGTGGTACTATATTAACTCTTGATAAACAGTCATCTGTCTCTTTGTTACACATAGCTTTCACAGTTTTTCCAATTCCTATTAAAAAATTATTTATTATTCATTAATTCATTATTTATAATTTTGTACGTATTTGCAATAAATAATAATTCAATTAGTACCTATACTCAAACCTGAATCGGCTGGAACTGAATGAGGTATTGGAGCTATATTAATTATTTCACTGTTGACAGATTTTTCAATGAAAACATCTTGAGTTTTTTCTTTTTCTGTTAATAATTAAAATATAGAGGTAGATAAATATGGGTAGGTAGGTAACTAGTATTAGGTGTTATTGTACTAAAATAATTCACAAATAATTAATAGTATTATTAATTAAACTAGCAGATAGGTATAGGTCATTACAATTAAATATATAAATTTAGGTAGGTGTACTTGAAATTTATATTTTTATTTACACCTATAAAAGATGTAACAAATTATTAATGATGTTTAATTATTTAATTAACATTTTGTATAATGCTAAAGACAAATGCGATAATGATATGGTATTAATATGGAGTCTGTGAAACCTAGTTTTTTTTTGGTAAATTTTAAGGGACTTTTTTCTCAAATGTTTATGACAGTATAACAGCAGTTAACCATAAAAAGTTTACAAGAAAATATAAAAATTAACCAAGTAAGTATATCAACTACCATCTACCCATTACAGTTTAAATGCTTATAGTAATAATATTATTATATAAGCAATTTAAATATTAATAATATTATAATTTATATAGAGATTAAATACAATAACATATAAATATATAAATATAATAATAATAGGTACATACCTTTTGTACATGTTGATGTAAAAAAATTTTTTATATTAAAGCTACTGTTGACTTTTATTTTTTTATTTTTACATGCTTGTACGTGCCGATTCCAATTGGTCTGGTTTAAATTTCCTCTCTCTTTAGAACAAAAACCACATACGTGGGAGTCCATTACACAGTATAAATTATGATGACCAAATAATAAAAAAAAATGTAACGATTAAATAGTGGAGACGATTAGACGAACAACGCACTAAACAATAAAAATATAGCAAGAAAACATATATGATCTGAACTTCAGAGTTCAGAGTGTCCGAATAACAGATTTCTTATTAAACACGGTTTTGGTTATTCGATTTTGTGTTAAATACGTTATTAAATATGTAAAATATGTTATTTATAGCATTGATTGTTTTGGATAACCCCGACGCGCGACGACCGCCGGCCAGGGGCCGTACTAAGACCATTTTAAAATATGATAATATTATATTTAATATTTAATATTATAATATATAATAATATTATATTAATATGCTTGAAATAGCACAGATTAATAAACAATATGATCGAGTAAAATGTCTCATTAATGACAAAATTTGTTTAATCAATACGATAATACATCATAATACCGACAATTATAATTACGCATAAATGATACCTCTTGCTTACCTACTGCATAGCAGTATATAAATATTAAATACGACATACGTATTAATGTATTATGCAAATAAATCTATAATATTAAAACAAAAAATTATTCATTTAATTTTTTAAAACACTGTAATTTAAAAAAGATATGTTTCAAAAAGGTTTCGTAGACCCGTTGGTAATTGAAATATTTTAAAAATTTCATAAGATGTGATTTGCAAATATAATCACTTTTAAACACCTAAATATTTATCTTCAGCATGTTTTTAATATCAAATATATTGATGGATAGTATAAATTATGTGCATTGATGAGAAGAAGTGAGGACAGAAAATGTCAGGGTATCCTTTTATCGCATCATAGTATCCTATTGTCTACTGATCGGCTGTTGCGTAATTAGTATACCTCTAAGATTTACAAACTTAAGTGTCAATACTTTCAATGTATACACCCTGACACCCATACACACAAGACCCATCCATCCGGCACCCACCACCCACCTAATAAAATACTGGGGCGAACCGCCCCATAAAAGTACGCGTTCGGCGCCACTGCACGGCACTACCCCAGGCCAAGTTCCATCAATGTCAGTGTATCGCTTTACACGAACCAATTCGCCCAGTTTTTCTAACCCACATATCTCTGTTTCCTCTTAAAATAAACTTTTGAAATTTAAAACACAGATTAATTTCGAGTAGCTTAGGACGCTGTAAGAAAATGTGCCCTTAGTATTGTGCCATTTAAAAATAGGAGGATTTAAAAATTTGTAATATATACTGACTGACTCCCTGAGCATCAAAATTATAAGAAACTTCCCGTATAGGTAGAAACGTGAAATTTTGCACAAAGGTAGGTCTTAAAGTGTAACTAAAGGGAAAAATCTAAAAATTGAAATTTTTTCAAAATTAATGCCGCTTCAGAGAGTAATTCTGAACGTATGAAGTGGCGCGCTTAGCAAACATAAACGTTTTCTTTCAAACAGCGTTACAATATGGTAATAAGAAATTGTGTGTAGTTGACTTATATATATATTTATTTATAAACAATGTTTTCGTATATTTTTTTTATTCAAATACAAAATATAATATAATTATTCAAATACAGGATACCTATTTT